CCCATTTGCCTCTGAACACACAAGCAAAAAAATACAGATAGCAGTCGAAGTTCAAGTGGAAAAGCGCCTTGTTCACAGACATTTGGTACCAATAAAGAAACGTTGCAAGGGGTCTAATTACTTCCCGCCAAACGCTGTTTCTCAAGAAACCTCCTAATTAGCTAATGATGACCTAAATTCTAAAAACGATTTTATAATTGAGATTATTTACCGAAAAATACTATTGTACATGCTAAAACAGAATCAAATCCTTTACTAATAATTATGAATTCAAGTAAGAGCTGTTGTTTTGCTCATTAAACCTATTTATTTTCTGACGTTCTCGTTCCCGTCGTCGTCGTAGTTTCGTGAGGTACCAAAAGTTGAACTCGATAATTTATTCATTTACTTATTCCCTCAGTTACTTGACCAGCTGTAACTAAATTTTCTAAATATAATAGAATGGGCTGGTTAAAGCTGCAGTAAAAACGGGCAACAGCTGGGTTAAGATAACCCAGGGTTAGTGCGAGAATTGAATTCAGCATTTCAGTTTTAATTCTTTTTGACTACAGGTTGATGATTGCACGCTCTAAAAATAACAAAGAAAATTATGCAAGAAAATGCTTTTGAGCACAAGAAAAAGAAACCAGGGTTAAATTTAACCCCAGGTTAAGCGCTAATCGGCTTTCGAACAACTGAGCCCAGGGCGATAAATTCTAGTGTATCACCTGAGCTTATAGACACGGTCCTCTCTGTTCAGCTCCATCTACCAACTTTTAAAAGGCAGAACGAGTTGGATAAATTGCGAAAAAGTTTTAATGCAGGTGAACACAGTTTTCCAGTGACGTTTTCAGTGGCGCCGCCGTTTTCTGATCGTAAGGTCGCTAACTAAACTACAACGAACAAAAATAAAGCCGCTCGCTGACTTTCTATCATTGAACCTTTGTAAAAATAATTCTCACCGTTCAATGATTATGAACTTTTAAGCAATTTCACGGACGACTCTCTGTACATGGCGCCACTCAAATCACGAAGCAATTTGGGTTTGCTGACACAAATTTAGAAATCTCACATCACTGTTAAGGTTGATTTCCACTGACGCGTTTTTGACTACGTGGACGTTTACGCACGTAAATTTTAATCACGTAAATAAAATAGAGGCAAGTTAAAAAGTGCTGAGCTTGAACGAGAAGTTGAGCGAGGTTCAACTTTTACGCTTACGAGCGACCTTTCATCCATTGCCTCTATTATATTTGCGAACGTAAATTTTACGCACGTACGCAGGTAAAAATTACACGAGACTGGAAATCAACCCCTACCGTTATTAAAGTTAAACCCTGGTTTCTATATAGCCTGTAACGGTCTGCGGCGGTCTGGGACACGATCGGAGATAGTCTGCGTCGGACGTATCCAAGACGACGTTCCCAGATACTAAAGACAACCGTTTCCCTTATGAAATTGCGATCGTAGCCATGCTATGTTTGTTTGACTCGATTTTAGTGCGAGAATGACGCCAAGTACTTATCAAAAGATTAACTGGACAATAAATGACACGTGTTTTAACAGGACAATTGTCTATCGCCAATACGCCGCAGATCGTCCCGCACAGACTTATCCATTAGAAATTATTTCAGTCAGTGGGGTGGCAACGGTCGGTAACCCTAGGCCTTTCCACAGACTGAATAGCGGTCAGGACGACCAGGAATCCGACAACGGTCTAGTACCCTTCTGATCACACTGACCGTATGCTGCTGACCACCCAACTGACGCCAGGGCCAAAATGTTTTCAAACGTCTGCGAAAGGATGCTGACCGGTCACCGAATGTTTCCCAGACCCTTACAGATCAGATGAAAACGTACAGTCAAACTAAGATAGCTCATATATACACGTTTCCCATTACAAAGCGGTCTCTACCAACAGTATCTCGCTGTGGGTCAATAGCTCCATCACGATGACGTGGCAGACAATTGTTTTTGCTGGAACGTGGCCATCATGGTTGTGAGGTGGGCATCCAAGGATAACTACACACCTGCAAAGTGGAAAGGTTCTACTGTTAAAAGGAAAATCACTTTTTTCCTTCTCTTTCTACCTCACTACTGTTCCTGGGTGTTTGTTAACGATAAGGAAACATTTTCAAAATTTCAGACAGATATAAATTCATAGAAAAATTGTCAAGTGTGCTTCCAATAAACTGATACCAAACAAGTACCAAACACGCCCACTTTCTGTTACATAAGAGGAGTATATATATATAAAAAAACGTCGTGTTCGTATTCTGACCTTGAGCTACTGACAGAGCAGGGAACATTTGTTGTCCGCTGTTACGCCGCAAAATGTAATACTAACGCAAAATGTAATAAAATTTTTAACGCAGAATGTAATAATCTTTCAACGCAAATTGTAATAACTTTTCTAACGCATAATGTAATAACGCAAAATGTAATAATTTCCGAATAACGACGTGCATGCTATTTCAAAATCGGTATTGTTGCTCAGTCATCGGTAGTAGCGAATTCAGATCTTCAATTAAATTATAAGCTATTACTGTTATTGATATTAATATTAATATTAACATTAGTAATAATATTAATATTACTATTAATATTAATTATCATTATTATTATTATTATTATTATTGCTAATATTACAATGAAACAGTTGAAATGAGGAGATGTAATCATCTTTAGGGAACCGAATGGGACGTTTGTTTCCGCTGATTTGAACGTAATACAGGTCCCAATTCAGTGCCCACCTAGCCGTCCTAAGCCAACATTTCGCCCTAAGTGAGAAATAAGTGTTAATGTTGGCTTAGGGGAGGATTATGTAGACAGTTTCCCATAATTATCCAAAAATTCTAACCCAAACAAAATTACCCATACACCCTCCCCCCTCAAGTGGTCAAAAATGGTCGGCCCTAAAAAGACGTAATTGCGCACTTTTTATGGATCTCCCAGTTCAAGATTTGGCGCCGTCAACTCTAAGACAAATGGCGATTGCGTTGCTGAGTAAATTCAAGGTTTCGTTTAGCGTCGAATGTGTTTCCTGATATTGAGTCGGTCGGTCGAATTGAAAAAAAAAAACTAAAAAACAAAATCACAAGAAGTCTCGGAATAGGAGGCCCTGGTACCCTAGGACGACGTTAAAAGTTAACATTCACATATTTGGATTAACAAAATACATAATATACTGTAAAAAATGTTTATGTCTTTGTTCCTGTTTTTCTTTATGCTGTTACTATGCTCATTTTTCAGATTNGCAAACTGATTTGACTTTGCAAAGCTTGGAAACTTCAACATAAAAGAAACTTGGACCTAAAAAACAGCATTAAGAACAATTCAGCCTCTATTAAATGAGAACTTAGGAAAAGTAAGCTACAGCCAAAGTTGTCTGGTTCTCATGAAAAAAAGTGTGACAGATATCTTATATTTTAAATGCATTTGAATTACGCTTTGAAAGTTGATTCTATTACTTGTTTTCAACAACAGCTATTTTATTTGACTGAATTAAATTCAACACCTGAAATTAAACCAAGTCTCTCAGTTGCTACAGTTGTGGTACAGTACAGCAAGCTCTTGCAGCCATTTTTGTCTCGTCACGCAATGCTCCTCCTCCTTTGTTGGGGAAGAGTGTTGCGTGACGAGACAAAACACGGCTGCGATCGAGAGAGACTAGCTCAGCACGGAAGTAACACGACGTTTCAACTGTTATTTCATTAATAGTAATAATAATAATAATAATAAGAAGAAGAAGAAGAAGAAGAAGAAGAAGAAGAAGAAGAAGAAGAAAATAAATATTATTACTATTATTAATATCAATATTGATAATAATAATAATAATTCACACGAAGATCTGGATCAGCTACTGATTACTGAGCCACAATACCGATTTTGAAATAGCATGCACGTCGTTATTTCGGAAATTATTACATTTTGCGTTATTACATTATGCGTTAGAAAAGTTATTACAATTTGCGTTGAAAGATTATTACATTTTGCGTTGAAAATTTTATTACATTTTGCGTCAATGTTATTACATTTTGCGTTAGTATTACATTTTGCGGCGATTCTTATTACATTTTGCGTTAATATTACATTTTGCGGCGATTATTACATTTTGCGGCTTGTTTCGGTTTACTTTCCTTTCCTTTGCTTTTTCCTTCTCCCACCTTTTGACCAGAAAACAAAGGAAAACTTTCGCTAAAAATATAGAAACTGCACATCGGATATTATTCTCCCCAACTGCAGCATCTTCCTAACAAAGGTCGATTCACTTGCAGTTTATGTAATGGGGATTTTCCCTGCCCTTAACACCCAGAACTGTTATAGAATCAATAAGTTTGTCTCACCCACATTTAAATAAAATAGCCATCTCCGAAGCTTGCCTAAAAAAACTTCTTTAATTTGATTGTACTTTTAAGAGACTGCTTCTCGGGCCAGTCTCTTCTCTCTTTGCCTCCAAGAAGCGAACTACATTCAGTTAACTTTTACAAAATAATGCTTACTTAAACACAATTGTTTTGCAATTAACCCCGGGACGATCTTCTTTTTTTTGTTTTTGATTTTGTTGTTGTCTATTGTTTTTTTGGACCTCGTAGAGGAATTCCAAGCCTTTTGGTGAAGTTTGTAAATAAATGAAAAAATATACTCAGCAAAAAGCCTTCTCTTCCTACCTGAATTACCCACTTTCTTACACGTCTTGCATGATGTGTGCTTTTTACCTCTCTCTTCAGCTAGAAATAAAAATAAAATGGCATAGTTTTGAAAAGCTATCCAAACAACACTTGAATAAAGAGAAGTGATTTTAACTTTAATAACTCTAACACTGTGTATATTTAATGTATCGAATACATAACAATTTTAAATTATTAAAACAAAATATTTGATTAGCCACGCCAACTCCGGCAGCAAAATCAAGATTCAGACTGCTTGGAACTAATGCTTTTTAATAACAGGTGCACTACTGGGACTATGAGAGAGGTTATGGGAGATATGTATGCATGCCCATACTTACTCTCATTTCTGTAGTGTGGCATGTCTTGAAAGGGAATTGCATCACTGAGAATATGAGCCATAAGGGAAGCTGCCATTAAACTTGCGAACGGTCTCCAGGAATTGGACACATTTCTGCCATCCGCGTAGCCTGAAATTCCTTTAATAACAGTCCACTCAATGCCCAGGTCATGCGCTGCTGTATACACACCTGAAAATGAAGAATCGTAGTAAATGGAGGGAAGTGAAGTTTTGAGCTCACGCATGCAGATTGCCGCGGAAAAAGTCAGGTTTATTAGGTTCAAAAGACAACTTCACTTGATTAGAAGGTATCAATACGCAAATGGCAATAACACAGACAACAAAATGTTGGTGACTAAATAAAAAATTGACAGTTAGGATTCTTGAAGATTGTGATTTGAATCTGATTCATGAAGGGGTCCCCTTAATCAAAGTTCTCTAACAAGGAATTAATTCCAAGGACGTGGACAACCGTTTATATTTTACTAACCGAGTTCATGAACACTCTGTTAAAATATGAACTGGCCAAGACAGCTTACCTTCACCTTCTCTTTCTATAGCGACCACTTCTGGAAATCTTTCGAGGAGTGTTTCACATCGTTTTCTATCAATAACTTCCTCAGGTCCACTCAGAAACGCGCCACGATGTATTTCAACTTCGCGTGCGTCTAAATCTTTCAAAGGTGGCTGCCAGCCGTCACAAGTATATTACAATGAAACAGTTGAAATGAGGAGATGTAATCATCTTTAGGGAACCGAATGGGACGTTTGTTTCCGCTGATTTGAACGTAATACAGGTCCCAATTCAGTGCCCACCTAGCCGTCCTAAGCCAACATTTCGCCCTAAGTGAGAAATAAGTGTTAATGTTGGCTTAGGGGAGGATTATGTAGACAGTTTCCCATAATTATCCAAAAATTCTAACCCAAACAAAATTACCCATACACCCTCCCCCCTCAAGTGGTCAAAAATGGTCGGCCCTAAAAAGACGTAATTGCGCACTTTTTATGGATCTCCCAGTTCAAGATTTGGCGCCGTCAACTCTAAGACAAATGGCGATTGCGTTGCTGAGTAAATTCAAGGTTTCGTTTAGCGTCGAATGTGTTTCCTGATATTGAGTCGGTCGGTCGAATTGAAAAAAAAAAACTAAAAAACAAAATCACAAGAAGTCTCGGAATAGGAGGCCCTGGTACCCTAGGACGACGTTAAAAGTTAACATTCACATATTTGGATTAACAAAATACATAATATACTGTAAAAAATGTTTATGTCTTTGTTCCTGTTTTTCTTTATGCTGTTACTATGCTCATTTTTCAGATTAAAAGAATTATTTCAAGTGAAAAATGGTTTAACTAGGTCGTTACCTTTTTTTTGAAAATGCCAAAAATTTGGGTCGGTCGGACGACGCTAAACGGAGAAAAAAAAGAGGGTGGCCTGTCTTCTAATCACAACTGCCTTGCCAGGCAAATTCAATGTTTTTGTGCATCAGCTTAGCTCTACTGCAATCAAAAATGCGTTACTGGGCTAACTAAAAAATTTTGCGCTATCTGTTCTAGGCAAACGACAACTGCCTTACAAGGCAATCTGATTTGACTTTGCAAAGCTTGGAAACTTCAACATAAAAGAAACTTGGACCTAAAAACAGCATTAAGAACAATTCAGCCTCTATTAAATGAGAACTTAGGAAAAGTAAGCTACAGCCAAAGTTGTCTGGTTCTCATGAAAAAAAGTGTGACA